CCAAGTGTGGGACAGTCTGGAGTAGCAGCTAGCACCCTGTGTGCATAGCAGGAATCTAGGGGGCTGAGAACTCTGAGTTTCTGTGTAACTGTCTGTCTGCCCAGCTGCCATTTCCTTGTTTTTGTTCCTTATGCCAGAGGCGCCAGTGGGCCTGGCTGAGCCCTACCCTGGGTAGGATAACCTTGAAGCAGCTAGTCTCTCTAAAGCTGAGAGGGACCTGAGCGGGGAGCTCTCTGTTTCCCATAGAGAAGGTTCTGCCAGTTTCCCTGAGAGAGTATCTGAGAGCTGAAGAAGTCCCCCAAGGCCCTTCTTCCAGCTTCCCAACCCTCCCCATCCCTTGACTCTCTGTGGTATCACCTCTGACAGCTCATTTAAAGAGTGGGTGTCTTTTTTTTTTTTTTTTTTTTTTTGCTGGAATGAGGGCATTTCCCAGGATGTATATTCTTCACATTTTCTTTATAAGTCCTTCTGGTTGAGGGAGGTGGACAGTGAGTTCCCAACAGTCTGCTCTCTGGCAATCCCTGGAGAACTTGCTGGCCTGGGAGTCAGGGAGGGGGGAGGCAGGATGATGGAAGGGAGAGGAGGCCCCTCAACCCTTGAGCTATTTTCTGAGAAGGCTAGAGTCTCTGGGGCCTGCCCTAAGGGCCATCCCTGACTGCTCAGGATTGACTTGAAGTGCTTCTTTGATGCTGAAATTGCTGTTGCTTCAGAAAGCAGTCCTTTGGGGGATTTGTTCTGCAAAGGTGGGGGCAGAGTGGGGAGTGCTATCACAGCGCTTTGGGCACCAGCTGCACCAGACCCACTGAGGAAGAGGCCATTGCTTATTCCTGTGCTGCAGGTGAGGAAACTGAGGCACTGAGGCATGAAGTAACTGCCATGCAGCCTGAGTTTAAACCAGGTCTTTGGGGTTCTGGAGCCCATGCTGTTTACCATGGCCCTGCTGCCTCTTGGGGGCTGAGCTGCTTGGGCCATGATCAAGATTTGGCTGGCACAAGAGGAGCCTGGGGCTTCAAGGCCTGGTGCTTCTCTTTGGACACAGCTGCTGCAGGAAGAGGCCTGATGCCCTCTTCTCCCGATTCTAATGAAGAATTGTGCGTGGCACAGGGTCTGGCTCACAGGGGACAGTGACCAATGAGGCTTTCTGCTGGGAAAGGAGCTTTTCCAGCCTTCTTTGGGCCTTCTCATTCTCTGTTCTCAGTGCCCAAGGGTTACAAGGCAATGCCTGAGTGTTTGCTCTATACTGAGCTCTGCGCAGTGCAAGAGACACAAGTCCTGCCCTCGTTGGTGGTGGCAGTGGGGAGATAACAGCTGATTGTGGCCAGGCTAGAAGATGCCCTGTGGGAGGCACCACTCTGAGATGGGGAAAAGGGAATGCCTTCCAGCGCAGGGGTTACTAAGAGAGCAGGGTGGGGAGCTCTTCTTCTGACAGCCTCTGGGCGCTGATGTGCTACATCTGCCTAAAGGGCCCACTGAGGCCCATTCTTGGGCTCCGTTTAGTTTGGTCCTTCATTCATTTAACGGATATAAAACTAACACAGCTGCTCCCTGCCAGATGCTGGGCTGGGTGCTAGGGACACAGGGTTTGTCAAAAGCACAGTCGCTGCCCTTGCAAGGTGGCAGACAGAGATATTAAATGATCCTAGAAGTGAGAAAGGGAATTCTTTTTGAAGATTTTCAGGCCTATCCTGGAATGGGAGAGGGTGGGAATGGGTTGTGCTGCCATGAAAAGGGTCCCCAGGCTGAGATGTGGATGGGAGAACAGAATTGTTCCAGGCAGATGGCTTGGGTAAAGGCAGGCAGGCAGGCAACGGGCAGTGGACAGGGGAGGAAGACAGGTACAGGACCCTGCATATAAAAGCCCCAGGAGCCTTTGCTCACCAGCCACTGTTTCATCCAGGCTTCCCAGGAAGTGTCCTGGAAAGGATTGCCATTTCCTACTCCAGGGGATCTTCCCAACCCAGGGATCGAACCCACATCTCCTGAGTTTCCTGCATTGGCACGTGGATTCTTTACCACTGCACCACCTGAGAAGCCACAAAATTATGATTGTTGTTGCATAGTCACTAAGTCATGTCTGACTCTTTCATGACCCCATGGACTGTAGTCCACCAGTTCCTCTGTCCATGAGATTTCCCAGGCAGGAATACTCAAGGGAGTTGCCATTTCCTTCTCCAGAGGATCTTCCTGATCCAGGGATTGAATCCACACCTCCCGTGTCTCCTGCATTGCAGGTGGATTCTCTACTGCCGAGCCACGTGGGAAGCCTGGGAAATGGGGGGATCTTGTCATTTTTCCCCTTGCTGTAGAGATGTGGCTGGAGCAGCCTCTGCGCAAGGTAGGGGGAAGGCCTGGTCCCCTTGCTCTTGGCTGTGTTTCACAGGCTCTGAGTCCGCAGCTTCGGGGGTGGCCGGAGTGGGTAGGTAGGGCAGGCCGCTCTCCAAGGGCCAGACTTTCTGGAGACAGCCTTAGGGGCTGCCCTTCTGGGACTGGCCCAGAGTGCGGGCCTGTGGCTATTCCTGCATTCCTGAGGCTCTAGGTTTGCCCTTCTCTGTACCTCCTGAGGCTTCCAGTGGGAGTGCTTCTCATACCCAAGCTGTTAGCCCTGCCTTTGAGGTAGGGCTTGGGCCTGGGTGGGCTTTTGCATTGGGAAATGGGCCTGCTCCTCTGTCCATGGGATTCTCCAGGCAAGAATACTGGAGTGGGTTGCCATTTCCTCCAGGGGAAATAAGGACATACTTTCTCTACATGATCTAATTCCATTATCTCACCTAGCTGATCAACTCTTATTTCTTAATGTCATCTAAGATCCAGTCCTGTTTATTAACATTTATTTCCCAATTATCTCCCAAATTCTGTTTTTTAGGTAGTTAGAAATCCCCTTCTACATATATTTTTCTTTCTGAAACTGACGTGGTGGGAAAAACCAGGTCAGTTGTCCCATAGAGTATCCTGCCTTCTTAGTCTCTTTGTGTATTAATTTAGCACAGCAGTTGGCAAACATTTACTGTGAAGGGCAAGATAGTAAATATTTTAGACTTTGCAGACTATGTGGCCTCTGTGGTAACTACTCAGAGTAGTTTTAATGTGTGTTCTCAGTCATGTCCGACTCTTTGCAACCCTGTGGACTGTAGCCTGTCAGACTCCTCTGTCCATGGAGTTTTTTCCCAAGTAAAAATATTGGAGTTGGTTGCCATTTTCTCCTCCAGGAGATCTTCCTGAACCAGGGATTGCTTTAGTGCAAAAGCAATTTTAGGTGGCAGTCCAGTGGTTAGGACTTTCACTGCCAGGCTTTAATCCCTGGGTCAGGGAATTAAGATCCTGCAAGCCGTGAGGGCACAGCAAAACAAAGAAACAAATAAAAGCAATTGTAGACAACATGTAAACAAATGAGTACTTGGTTGTATGCCAGTAAAACTTTACAAAAAAAACAGGAAACAGTGGCAGCCTGACAGGCTGTAGTTGGCTCATCTCCTATCTAAAGCAACTTCCCTCTTTTATTAAAATTAGGTCACTTGTCTTGCAGAATATCTGGCCTTCTGGGTTTGTCTCCTTGCTTTCTTGTGGAGTCATTTAATTGGTTCTGCTTGCAGGTTAGACATTTGGGGCAGAACTGCCCCCGTCAGTGGTGCTGTGACTTGGTGCTGCTTCACATCAGTAGGCACACTTGTGCCCGGTGTCCCATTCTGAGTGAGAGGAGGCTGACTAGTGCAAGACTGGCTGATGTCACTTTGCTCCTTGGCAAACTTGTTCCCTTTAACCTGAGGTCATCTGTCAGTGGTACTTGTGCATCTGTGAGCATCCACGCCTTCCTGGTTTAGCACCCACTAAATTAGTGTTGCTTCCAACATTTGTTTTTGGGGGGGTTGCAGAATTATTTAGCATTCAGTCATTCCTTTGTTAAGAAAGAGCTATGCTTTAACCACCAGGGCAATTTGGCTTCAAGAAAGACCAAGAGACAGACTGAATTAGTTCTCTTTAAGATTGCCAGTTTTCAGAGCAGAGAGTTAGGGTGTTGGTATTGTCAGTAGTGACAAATGAGGGTTTGGATTTGTTTTGCTTTCTTCTTTTTTTCATAATCACTGTGAATGCTCTGATTTTATATAGTTCCATCTGTTAACATCAATTGCATAATATTCTCTTTGATGTTGAGATGGTCCTAGCCCAGTGTTTCAGAGCTGTGCTGCTTACACAGGCTTCCTGGGGGTGCCTCCCACTGCCTCTGCCCTGAGGCTGCCCTTGGGGAGCTGAACTGGAAGGCCTGCCAATCAAGCCAGAGTCTGAACTGTGAGTTCTGATGGGTGGCAACCCTGTCATAGGTGCCTGTTCTGTATATGGCCCTGTTTGATCACCAGGAGGGAAAGCTCTAAGAACATGTCTTATTATATAGGCCCCCGTATTTCACCCCCTCGAAGCATACTGTTAATTCTGACCTGGATTGACTTGTGCAGCGAGAATACTGTGACCTCTGGATGTATGATGGTACAACCTGTGTGCCTGGGCTAGGCCAACTCCTGGATCACCAGCACCAAAACTGGCCCCTGGAAAGTGCCAGTGAAGTCCCCTTCTTTTGCTGGCTGCCTCTTCCCACCAGCCTCAGGTCTTGCTGGGCACTAGAGTTCTGGGCTGCTGCTTTGACACCCAGAAACTGCAGCTCAGTACATGCTGGCCAGGCTGTGGGTCAGTAGTGTGTCAGGCAAGGGCGAGGGCTCTTGGCAAATGTGGAGTGGGTGGAGGAGTAGGGGGCAAAAGCCCCCTCTGCTTAGGGGGTGCAGGTACCACTTGGGCTACTGAGAGCCTCAGGGGTTTGGGTTCTTCCTGAAGGGAAATCTCTGCTCTCCCGCCAGCCACAGGCCCATCAGTGGCCCTGACCCTTGCCCTCCCCTCCGCACCCCCCACCCATCAGGCTCCTGCTGGTGTCCCTGGAGCATGGGAGGCTGCTGAGTGTGACCGGTGGTGTCCGGCAGGAGCTGCGTGTCTCACCCTGTGGCAGGAGGGCGTCCATGGCTGCAGCCAACAAGGGTGAGTGCCTGCCTGGTCTGCTGGGGTTTGTAGAGTCTTCTAGTGCACCCTGGTGGAAAGGGGTATTGTTGCATGTGGGGTCTGCATTGGCTCTGTGTGTGTGTGTGTGTGTGTGTGCGTGTGTGTGTGCGCATGTGGGGTCTGCATTGGCTGTATGTGTGTGTGTGTGCATGTGGGGTCTGCATTGGCTGTGTGTGTGTGTGTGTGTGTGTGTGTGTGTGCATGCATGTGGGGTCTGCATTGGCTGTGTGTGTGTGTGTGTGTGTGTGTGTGTCTGAATGTGAGTTATGAATTATATTACATCAGTAATTACACCAGTGTTTATGCTGGGGACGCCCAAGCCCTAGCAGGGAACCTTGGTGTGCTGACCTGTGGAGGTGTGTGCCCTCATGGCCCCATGTTCCAGCCTCCCCGTTCCACTGTAGAGGTTGGGAGCACAAGGGGCTTGGTGTGAGCACTGAGGCTCTGAAGTGGGTAGGGCTACAGCAGGTTGTGGAAAGGAATTTGGGTTTCATTCAGAGTCCAGAAGGACTCATAGAAGGTTTTAGGTGAGGTAGGATATGAGGGTTAAATCTGAGGCACTCAGCAGGGAAACATGGAAATGCCAGGTTGACCCCTTGGGCCTCCACTGAGTCTTCATTGTGTGCAAAAACCCAGGCAAGGACTGGCCCAGGCCCCCACTAAGCTCCTAATAATCTGCCTGCCTTAACTCCCTGACTGCCTGGCCTTGGAAAACCTGACCCAGTGAGGGACAGCCGAGGACCATGTGAGGGGTTAAGCGGAGGAAGGAAAGGTGTCTCTGGGAGGGGGCCTGGAGCTCCCCTGGGTTCTTCTTACCTGCCAATGATCAGTAGTGAGGTTTTAGAGGAAGCTGCAGCCCTTGGAGGGCTGAGTGTGGTTTTTGACCCTCTGTTTCTCCCACCCCCAGCCAGGTCCCATGGAGCCCAAGCTCCTTCCTGTCTCTGCCCTTCTCCCCTCTCAAGGGGGTCAGCAGGAGGGGCAAGCAGAGGGCCTCAGGACTGGCAGACCTAGAAGAGAAGGCCTGAGAGATGGGGAGCTTGGAAACGTGAAGGAGAGCACAGGGCAGGGTATCCTGAGCACTGGGGCTGCGTCCCGCACTGCCTGGGGTTTGGTCAGAGTCAGGACTCTTTTCCCTGTCAGCCCCATTCCCTCTAAGTGAAGGGTCATATTAGCTAATCCCTAAATCCCCCCATACCTTCTCTCAGGGTGTGCATTTTCTGTGGGAGCACTAAGTAGGCAGGGGCAGATGGGAGTCTCAAGCCTTATGATCTCCATTGTCCAGTAGGATGTGGCCTAGCTCAGCAGTGGATGCTGACTGATATGAAGGGGCAGTCACAGGGGCAGGGCAGCGATGCGGTGGAGTAGTTTCCTGGGGCTCGAGAAGGCAACAGCCCCTGGAGCCCTCTCCCACTTTTTGTAGGCAACAAGTCCAGAGTCCGGAGTATCCGCTTCGCAACAAGCCATGATGCAGAAAGCTCCCAGAGTCATGTCCACTTTGATGAGAAGCTGCATGACTCTGTGGTCATGGTCACCCAGGAGAGCGACAGCAGCTTTCTGGTCAAGGTATGTGCATACCTCTCCCCCTTATAATCATCAGCCATATTCCCTCTACCTTCTCTCTGGCCCTGCCCAGATTCCTGGGCCTGTTCCATTTCCTCTAAGCTGGCTCCATCTTTGTCCTTCCCTGGGCCTTGGTTTCCCCATCTGTAAAATGGGAAGTGTGAGACTGTGATGAGATGAGTGCACTTAGGATGTTACTTGAATGGGAGTGGTGCTGCTGTTATCATCAGCATCTCCCCAGCTATTGCAATTGGAAGGCAGGTGTCCAGGCTTTGGTGTCACAGGCCTGGGTTCAGTTCTGGGCCTTCTATTTTGGCTCTGTGACCTTGGGCAGGTCAGCTCGGTTTTCCTTCTCTGAAGTAGAGACAATTGACACCCCAAAGAGCTGGAAATGGAAGGGTGTATGTATGTGAGGCTAATTATATTGATAACACGGTGTGACTTTATTTACTCTGCTTTGCCAAACTTCTGATTTAAGCTCTTTGCAGTAGTATTTATCACCCCCATTATTTTCCCTTCTCCCTCTCTTCTAGTGTCCATACCTCGTAGACCCTTGGCTCCTCCAACTGCTGGGACACTGTTAGATCCCACATCCATTTGGGAGGGGCAGGAGGAATTCTTTGGAGGGGATGGATTGGAGGGAAACAGGGAGTGAGGCCTTAGGGTTGGACAGTACACCAGGGCTCCTGTGTTGAGCTGTGGAATGCATGGAGGTGAGCATGGTGGTTGGCGTCTGATCTATTGAGACTACCCTGAGGAGGGGCCCAGAGTCATAGCCATTTCTGCCCAAGTCTAAAACCCTTGCTCTTTCTCCAAGAGCTGACAGTTTCCCCAAGGGAGCAAACAGAATGAACCCAAACTTTCAAAAATAGCTCCCTGCCTCCCATTGCAAAATCTATTCATGTCCATGGCAGAGAAAATTTGGAAGATAGAGAAAACTATAAAGAAATTTAAAAGTATCTACAATCATACTATCCAGAAATAACTATGGTTAATATTTTGATGTGTGTTATTCGAGTTTCCTTTCTAGCTTTCTTTCCAAAAATGAAAAGCTGGTATACTAGTGTACATACTGTTTTTTGCTTGCTTCTGTTGTGATCCATCTCCTGTTTGTTTCAGTAAATAATTTTCCATGAGATTTTACAACTGCCTGATATTCCACTATTTCTGTCATCATTGATTTAGCTGGTCCCCTGTTCCTGGTGTTACAGTTGTTTCTATTTTGTACTGTTATAAATAGGGCAGTGATGGTTTGGTTTTGTTTTTTTACATCTGAGTATTTCCCCAGGGAAATACTTCAAGTGGTGCAGCTGGATCACAGGGTCACCATTGGCAGGTATAGCAAGAAAGCCCTCTTGAGAGGTGTGCCCTCTTTTAGCAGAGTGTGGGAGCCATAGGGACTGAGCTTTATCATGCAGTGACATCATACTGATCCAATTGAAAGGCTAAATGTTCCCCCAAAGGACAGGGCCATCTATTTCCTGAAACTGAGCAGGAGAGCGTGTGCCCTGTGAGCTGTGGATAACTGCACGCACATTGCCCCTCCTGGACTGGCACTCCAGTCAGCCTGCCTGCCTGACAGCTACCCTGGCCTGTGACCTGTCACACAACTGAGTTTCTGAGGATGGCAAAGCTGTGTGTATGAACAGCAGAAATTGCCCAGGCTGTGAATCAGGGCTGTTGGACACAGTGAGCCTTTGAATGGGCAGGCATCCATGTTCATGTGCCAGCAGGGCAGGCTGGATTCCAAGTTCCATGACTGGTGCCAGCCTTGTGGGCCAGCTCTGGGCTGACAAAGCTCATCTAGTATCTGTTTTTATGATTCTGACCCACCCTCCATCTTGTGCTATCTATGTTGGCTGGTGGCCCCACCATGAGTGACTAGAGGACCAGTGTCCCTGGGCACATGCTGATAGTGGTGGGGGCAAGTGGATAGCCTGTGTCATGGGGTTTTGAGCCTTCCCTGTGGCCACTGGCTGGTGCCTTGCTGTGTGGCAGGAGTAGCCAAGAGGTCCAGGGAGGACTATAGCTTGACTATGCTGTGGCCTTCAGCCAGTCATTTCCTGGCTTCTATTTTATCATCTACAAAATGGGCCACCAAGGAACTTCAGGGCCCATGAGACAGATATGGGCCAAGTGATGGGGTGGGGTCCTTGGAGAAAGGGCCTGGAGCTGCCAGGCCAGGAGTGTGAACCAGCTAGAATGATGGGAGTCAGAATCCCCTGGGATTGTCAAGGAAGCAAGTGGAGGGCCCACAGGACCATCAGTGGTGCACCCTGGTGGACCCAGGGGGAGACTGAGAGTGAAGGCGCCTCCGTCCCCTGCCCCCCCCTGCTGCAGGTTGGATTCCTGAAGATCCTGCACAGGTATGAGATCACCTTCACCCTACCCCCAGTGCACAGGCTGAGCAAGGACGTCCGAGACGCACCTGTCCCCAGCCTGCACCTCAAGCTCCTCAGCGTCATGCCCATCCCAGAAGGTGCGTCCCCTGCTTGGGGTGCTGAAAGCTTGCCCTCCTCCAGCAGAGCCTGGGTGTGAGTAGGAGTGCCAGCATGGATACTTCCTTCCCCCCCATTGAGGGCTGATGAGTAGCTCAGAAACCAGGAGACATGATGCCTCTTTATGGGCCTGCTGTGTGGCAACTTGGCAGGTTCCATGCCCCAGCCCTCACTCCCGGACAGAAGTCCACGGGCTCAGTGTCTGCTCACTGCCTGATGGTTACTTCAGGGGGATGGTGGGAGCTACTGAGGAACTGCTCTGGGCCTCTAGCCCTTCCTTTGCCAGGGGAAACCTACTGGAACCTCAGGAACTTTGGGCAGCTACCTCCCAGCACCCACCAGACCTGAAGCTGCTTTTCCATACCCTGCCACCTTCAGCACCCCTCCTCCCAAAGGCTAGGGAATCAGTTTCACCATTTACAGAAACCCCAGCTTCAGTTTCATGTCCCCCCTACCTCCGCTTCATGACTTTGCCCTTAAGTGGGTTGAGCAAGTCTCCTCAGGTCTTTGCCTCTTGCCACCTGATCTGCTCAATCCCTGCCCTGCTCCTCCCTCCCTCCCCCATCACCCTCTCTGCCTGCCTGTGTCTTTGGGGAATCCCACCTCTTGCAAGCCTGAGTTTGACTTCTGGCCTACATGTAGAGCTCACTGAAGAATGGCCAAGTTCCAGAGGCCTGTGTACCCAGCCCTGGGGGCAGGGGTGGGGGGAGTTTGGGCCATCCTTGCTCCTCTAGAGGTCTTGGTGGTGGGTGGGGACCCGTGAATGCTGGGGGGGCAGGAGGCCACAGAGGTGCTGATCGCCCCGGGCAGGTTACAGTGTCAAGTGTGAGTACTCCGCGCACAAGGAGGGCGTCCTCAAGGAGGAGATGCTGCTAGCCTGTGAAGGTGGCACCGATACCTGCGTGCGCGTGATGGTGCAGGCGCGCGTCATGGGTGAGAGCTTGAGGCCCGGGTCTGGCTATAGGAGAGAGGCACCAGCTTGGCCTCAAGGAGTTTCTACCCTCCTTAAGTCTGAAAAAGGGATCCTTGTTTTGGCCCATTCCCAGTCTCCTTGGTGGGTGCCTTTCTCCTCATCCTCTAGCAGAGCTGGGAGGGAAGGTAGAGGAGTCCCCTTGGAGTAGGTGGGGCCGGGGTCCAACCTGGCATACTGACTTGTCACCTGTCTTGCAGACCGACACCACGGCACACCCATGCTGCTAGATGGTGTCAAGTGCGTGGGTGCTGAGCTAGAATACGACTCAGAGCACAGTGACTGGCACGGCTTCGACTGAGGCCCTCGGCCCCACCTGCCTCAGGGCCCCTCAGCCTTAAACCCAACCTCATCTCCCCAAATGCTGCGTGACGGTGTGGCTTCCTCACCCTTCCCCAGAGTGGGTGTGGAGGTGGAGTGTCCAAGGGCCTCTCACCTCATTTGTGCCACCTCCCTGCCTCTCCAACATCTTCTCCCACTTTCTCCTGTGTGCCTCAGCCTCCTGCTGGAAGAAATGGATTGAGCCCCCAAGGAGGCTATCTGAGGAGGGCCTGGGGTGGGTCGTACCCACCCCCACCCCAAGCCATAAGGGCTCTAGTCTGAGCCTAGGAGAGGAGGGAGCTGGCTCTGTGGTAGAGCTGCCCCTATTACTACTGCTGCTGTCTCGCTTTAGCCACCTCTCCTGTCTATTCCCTTTTTTCCACTGCTGTCCATGGTGAGGAGGAGGGAGATGCAGTTCCCAATCCCTACCCCCTAGGTCTGTGTTGTTTTTAAATGACTGGTTGGGATAAAACCCTGAAGAAATAAAACTTCCAGTGGATACAAGAGGCTAGCAGGGTTTTTGTTCTCCAGGGCCCTGAGAATGCCCAGTCCTTGCAGATGGGCCAAGGAAGAGTTTTGGCTACTTACTCTCTTTGGAAGCAGAGTTTCTTTGTGGTATTATAGCACCTAATCCCAAAAGAGGTATGTGCGGGTGGTGGCATTTTTGGCCTGCCAAGACAACAAAGCCTGCACGGGGAGGGGCCTTCCACCCAGGTCACAGAGGGGTCTTGTGGAGTGGGGTGTTGTTTGGAGGGCTTGATGGGAGACAGCAGCACTCCTTTCTGGTCATTTCCCAGCTCCATGCACAGCTGAAAACCTGCCTTTGTAGAACCCAGCCCCCTTCCACTACTCCACTATTGGAGTTCCCCCTTGTGAGATACCAGGAGGCCATGGTTTCACCTTGAGCTTTATTGTCACCTTAGGGCTCTCAGGCAGATGGGACTGCTGCATGTCATGGGAGGGCAGGTACACTAAATTGATGTCAGAGCTGGGACCAGTGCTCTTTCTGTCCTCCCTGCTCTCTTCCCTCTCCATGACCTGAGAGTATGTGGATTATTCCCAGGCTGCCCCTGGGGCCTTCTCAGGCAGGCCCCAAAGGAAAGCCCCCCTCAGCATGTTATCCCACATCCCCCTCGCCTGTACCCTTCTCATAGCCTGCTACTGCCCTTTCTACAATTAACATTCATACTTGGGTGGTCAGCACCACACCCAGGAAGGTAGGTCCTGCTACTTCTGTCCCTCTCCTGTCAGCTTCAGTCCTTGCCCTGCCTGGCTCCCTATGCAGGCTGAGCCAGTCAGAGCACTCTGCCCTTCGGCTCCAGACCCTCTTGCTGCCCTGCCTGCAGCTGTACCCCCACCCTCACCCCCCACTCCCACCCTGGCCCCTAGTTCAGACCAAGGGTCAAGCCTTCTGATGCAGTCTGCTTTCAGGACCACGTGCTCCAGTGGGGATGCTTTGCAAACCTTTTAAGTCTCCTTGACTTCAGTCCTTGGAAGTGCCCTTCAGCCTTTCTGTCAGAGGACTGAGGCCCAATCCCAAAGCCTGAGTTTCTGGATGTGTCCCCACCCATCCCTCCTGCGACCTCATCTCCCAGGGCAGGATGGTGGGAAACAGGGTGGACTTATCTGCCCCAGCCCTGGGCCAAAAGAGTTTTGTTGGGCCGAGGGGGTGCTGGCACTGCGCCCTCAATTGGAAAGAAAGTCGATGGCGGCGCGCACGGAGCGATTGGTGCTGACATCGACAGCGGTGACCTTAATCTCAGTGTCGCCAAACTGCATGGCAGCGCGGATCTCGCGGCGGCCGGGGGGCATTCCGGCGGTGTCGGGGCCTCCCTCGGCTGGCTCTAGCTCTAGGCTGAGCGCGCCACACTTGCGCACTCCTGGGTCGGTGATAAAGCGCGCGTCCTCCGCAGCGCAGCAGTATAGGTTGATGAGCACTCGCCGCTGTCCTGGGCGCGCTGGGCAGTAGCTGCGCCGCACCTCCTCGCCCAGGGCCACCGACTGTTCGGCGGCCACGAAGCGCTCAAAAACATCGGTGCACCAGCGGCGACCGTCACGAACCAGCAGCTTGTCAGGCGGGTGAACACCAGCCACGAAGCGGTTGAGCACGCCCACGCCGTAAGTGAGCGGCGATCTACGCACCCGAACCACTCCCGGCGCCTGCCCAAAAAGCACTGCACCTTTGAGGATGGTGAGGGCTACGTCGTGCGGAACCACCACACGCAGGCCGCGGGCGCCCAGAGCTGCCTGCACCGCGTGCTGCAGCATAGCTGACTCGGCGAAGCCGCCCACCAGGAACAGCAGTTTGACACCCTGCACCTCAGGGCGCTCCAGCAGTGCTTCTGCGGGGACGGGTGGGGAGGGGGTAAGGAAGGCGTACGGGGAGTGGGCCCCTGAGGCTACAGCTGCGCAGCCATTGGCGCTTCCCTTCTGCCCTCCTGTATCCCTGGGGCAACAAGAAACTAGCCATTTCACTATAAAACCTTAGCCTGGTTTGGATGAAGAAAAACACAGAGCACTTTAATGAGGGACTCTGCCATCCTCATGGCCTCTGCTTCCTCAACACTATCTGGCTTTCCCACTACACTGTGGAGGCCTTGAGTAAGGGTGTGAATTTACATGTATTAAATGCCTACTGCATGCAAGACATTGTACTTACTCTTTAGATACTTAAACTTAACTTAAATCACTGTGATAACAGTTTGGGGGAGACCTAATACTACTTGGGGAGTCAGCCACTAGAGTTGCTTTAACCTGGCAAGACTACACATCATCCTATTAATCCCCAGGGCGCTACATCCTTCAGGTATTCCTGATGATTCTGGGTCTCAATCCAGTGTATGAATTTGGGGAGGTTTCCAGGTACTAATAGGGGGAAATACTCTCGCATGTGGGTGTGTATGCTAAGGTGAAAGAACGACCCAAGCTCAGGCGCTCACCTATGTGCTGGATGATCCCGCTGACGGTGGGCTGAAAGAGTTCATTCATGGCCTCACAAGACATCCTGAGCATCCCATGTGAGGACCACTTCACGAAGTTCACGCTGTAGATGGTGAAGGAGCACAGGCCCATGGGTCAGGGCCCAGGTCCTACTTCTATTCCAGGCCGAAGTACCTGGGCACATTCTGTATTGTACCAACCACACTTGCAGGGGTTTTGGACTCAGGTCTGTTCCAGGTCCAGACATGAGGTCCCAGGAAAGGAGTCTCCTTTTGCCTCAAGCAGAGGAACACAGACTGGTTGGCTGGCAGGTGTGTGCGTGAGTATGTATGGCTGCAGGGAAAAGGAGATAGGTGTGTGTGTGTGTGTGTGTGTGTGTGTGTGTGTGTGTACAGCTGTGGGGAACAGGAGATAGATATTGGCTTAGATAGGTAGGGGTGTGTGTGTGTGTGTGTGTGTGTGTGTGTACAGCTGTGGGGAACAGGAGATAGATACTGGCTTTTCCCTGGGTAGGGGTGTGTGTGTGTGTATGTGTGTGTGTGTGTGTACAGCTGTGGGGAACAGGAGATAGATACTGGCTTTTCCCTGGGGGCTCAGGATCCTCTTGCCTCAGTTTGCGCTGCAGATTTCAGCTGGGGTACTCATGCTCCTCCCCCTGCCTTCACCTGGGCTGGCATGACTTGTGCCTGGGCCAGATCAAGTGGATCCCCTACTGCCTTCCCCTGTAGGGGCGGTCCCCCCGCTCACCTGCTCTTGCGCAGGGCCGTCTCCACATTGTGGCCTCCCTGCTTACGGTAGAAGTCAATGAAGGAGAACGGTAGGGAGATGTTGAGCGCCCCTGTACGGTGTGGGCCTGCAGTGCGTTTGCGGGCCTCGAAGGCTATAGTCAGATCCACCCAGGCTGCTGGACGTTGCCTTTTGAAGGTGGTGATGAAGTCCTCACCGAAGATGCGGCCCAGCAGCTGCTCAAAAGCCAGGTCCACGCCCACCGCGCCGCAGGGCCCGCCTAGCGTCCAGCAGGGGAGGAAGAGGGCAACAGTGCTCATTCCACTGCCAGGAGGTGCTGGCAGGGCAAGGGTGCTCTGGGTACCAAGGGCGCTGCCTGGTTACTCACCAGACGCCTTGTAGAGCTCCTTGAGGGTGCCATGGGGCTGCTCCAGCTGGTGCACAGTCAGGTCCACTGTGCCTCCCCCACAGTCTGCCACCACATAGCGATCTCCTGTGGGGGCGAGCATGAGCACACACTTGTGGCCGTTTAGCTCTAGACCCTCTGGAGACTCAACCAGCCTTCAGCCCTGCCCCAGGTCCTGAGCCCTGTCTGCAGGGCTGTGGGGGTTATGGTTGAAAGGGGCTTCAGGTCACCAGATAGGGGCACAAGGTGTGAGGGAAAATGGCTCCAGGGTTCTGCAACTCCATCTGCAGAGAATCCTCTGGAGGAATGGGGGTTAGTGGCATGGCTGTGAGTGGGGGTGGGAGTGCAGGTGATGGTGAGGGGGACTACCAGCTTTAGGTATAGCTATGGAGTTGGAAGGGGCAGGGTTCCTAGAAGATAGAGCTGACTTCAGGAATGTTTTCCCACCTTCAGTAGCTGGTATCCCACAGGGCCCAAGGAATATCCCTCCATCTCCCCTCCCTCCCCCACCTGCTTGCATATCGGCCCACAGCTCTCCAACACCCGACTCCACCAGGAATGTCCGGCTGTGACGGGATCTTCGAAGCTGCTCTCGGGCTGAGTGTTGAGAGACAGCAGGACAGTGAGGTCAGGAGGCTGCAAGACCTTGCCTTAATCATAGAGGGGCTCAGGCCATGGCAAAATCAGAATTAGGAAGGTCTAGACACGACTGAGCGACTTCACTGAAATTTCACTTTCACTTGCATGCATTGGAGAAGGAAATGGCAGCCCACTCCAGTGTTCTTGCCTGGAGAATCCCAGGGACGGCGGAGCCTGGTGGGCTGCCGTCTATAGGGTCACACACAGTCGGACACGACTGAAGTGACTTAGCAGCAGCAGCAGCAGAGGAACTGGGGAGGAGGGGAAATCCTGAGACCTGTCCCTATCATAGAAGGTTGACTACAGCAGTCTCAGCGCTTAGTCCTGGCAGCAGGGGCCTGGGGCTGGTGGGGATGGGGGGACAGCTGACATGCCAGGATGGGAGGGAAAACTGATTCAGTAGCTGTTTAAGGGAAAGCTGAAGACCTCCACCTTCAGCTCAGAGTAACTTTGTCAGTAACCCCAGCACCTCTTCCTAGGGTAGGCTGTAGCCCCACCCCGACCCCTACTCCCCATCTCAGATTCAGGGTTGGATTGAGTCTTACCATCCTCAGACAGTGCTACTCTAGGGCATGGTATAGTCTTCAGTGCTTGCCTCCAAGGCCACCACTAGGCAGCACCCCTGGGGTTGGCTCACCCTGACGGAAGCTGGAGTCGATGGAGCGGCGCTCGCCCAGGCACCCTCTGCCTGGAGCTCGGCTACTCAGATCCACGAGCTGGTGCAGACGCAGCTTGCGGCAGTATACAGAGGCAGCCTCGGGCTCCAGGGCGATGAGTAATTGCTCTGCATCCTCTCTCGACACTAGTCCAGCCTGATGGTGTTGGCAGGGTTGGGGAGCATCATGGACCAGGCATCACACTGAAATGGCACCTCAGGGCAGGCAACCAGGGCTTGTGGGGCTCTTATCTCCTCCCCATTATAGTGCACTCACGCTAGGCCTCTCAAGGCCCTTCCATGCTGCACAGATTTGGAGCTGTCTCAGAGCCACCGTATGACCAGGCTTGGGGTGGGAGGGATGGCTGTGGCCAAGGATGCCATGGGGTTGCCCAGCAGGGAGGGACCTTAGACTGAGTGAAAACCTAGAGCACCTGGGATCCGCCCCAGGCTGCCCAAGGTGGCCCTGGGCTGCAGGAAAGTCCCCTTCACAAGTCCTGGGTTAGCAGCTGACCACTGGCTGAGGGGGTTAGTGGAGACTCCAGTACAGTGTATTAGGGGGTATAATGGCCAGAGCATCAATCAGAGGGGATGGTGGGGGAGTCCCCTTTAGCTCACTGAACTCCCTTTCTTCACTGGTAATGGACAGTGGCCATGGGCTTCTCCACTCTCTTGAGAACTTTTTTCCCAAGGAATGTGATATAGGAGAAAAGACACTTTAGCAGTGAAATTTTAGGCACCAAGGCAAGCAAGCTAGGGGGGGGAAGACACCTTCTGTTACTTCCTGCATCAGGACAGGGGACCCCCATAGGAAGTACTTTATGGTTTTGTGGGGTTCCTCAGATTCTGACCAGGTGGGGGGATGGGGTAGTGGGTATCAAGACTTCCTGCCCAGGGCCAGCCCTTTCTGAACTGACAGCCAGGGAACAGTGTGGGAGGAGGCAGGGTGGGTAAACCAGCAGAGGGCTACTGGGGTGGGGGCATTTGTTCTGGCTGGGCACGGCCATGCTTTCACTCTGGTCTCTGAAAGGGGGATGGATGCCCACTGGTCTTGGGGTTAGCTCCTTCCAGAGACAAGTGAGGGCACCTGCGGATTTGACACCTAGGAAAAGGTATGTTTCTGGGGGTTGGGGGTTCTGGAATTCCTGAAATTGCTTTTGGAAATCCTCGGGTGTCCCCACCCCCAGGCCCCAGTTTCAGGGGCAGGATCAAACAATGAGTCCCCCTCCAACCTTCCCATCTCCACTGGGGGCAGGGGGGGTGCCTGAGCTGCAGTCCCCCTTTCTCCAGAACTTTGGGCCTCTCTTATGGTAGGAAGATCAGCAAACATTGGCCCAAATCACCTCCCTTCATAGTTTCATAGTCTTATTTCCTCTGCTCAAGAACTTAAAATGGTTGGGGCTGTGGTAAAAATATTGATGCTGGCTGAAGTGGATGTTCCTGGTGTCCTGCCCAGCTACTGTGAGTGTTGCCTATCAGCTCCCCATTGCCCCTTCTCTGGAGAACTGCCTTCAACTGAATGGGAACTACCTCACTTGGGGGGGCTTAACCCAACCAGTTACCAGTGACAGACTGATAAGGATGGACCAAAAGCCACCCCTCTTGCCTCCTTGTGGCTAACACTAGGGTACATTCTCCCTCCAGAGCTCTCCATGGGATCAGGCTGAGGCTAGACTCCAGATAAGATCCATCCCTGTTCAGCTGTTTCTGCTGTCCTGCTTTCCTCACTCCCCTTTCACCTGAGAGTCCTTCAATACACCACATGCACAAGAATTCCCATCTTGGACTCTGCTTCTAGGAAAGCTGCATTAAGACACTGGTTAAGCTGGCCTGGGCTGTCCCTTGTCCCTCAGCTCTCTGTTCCTAGAGGACCACCCCCTCTCTCGGTGGCAACAACCCTCCAAAATGCCCAGCAGGGTGGGGTTGGCAGTCTTTACACGATGGCTCTGTGGTCCCAAGGGTGGTGTATGAATGAGGGTATGGCGCCATGCCCAGGGCCCTTCCGAGCAACACCCACAACTCTGCCGGCATGTTCTCACCAGGTAGGCAGCCTCCCGCATGAACTGCTTGGCTGGTTGTTTCCAGATGGCAGGTACGGTCAACACCCAGCGCACAGTGTCCTTCTCCAGCAGTGATGGGCACTGCTCCCTCAGCTCCTGGAGCAGGATGGGGCAGTGAAGGGAAGGGCTGGCTTGGTCTGAGGGGAGTGTCCTTACAGGAGCTGGAGGAGCTAATCAGGCCTGAGGAAGAACTTCCCAGCTGACTTGGGAGAATCTTAACACCCCCTTTCCCACCACCACCACCACCTCCCCAACACCTGATGCAGGGCTACCAGATAGCTGATGCAGGCTCTACCAGATAGGAAGGCAGAGGACTGGAGAAGATGACCCCTGTCTTCTGACAGTGGCTACTCAGTGGATGGGCTGAGGGGAAAGGATGGACCTGGGGGTCGTCCACCCCAGTAAGCAGAGAGGGTCACAGTGCACCTGAAGGGCATGCTCCTTGAAGAAGCGCAAGGCATGAGCGAACACCTCCAGGGCAGGCATTTTCTTTCCGTTTACTGCTTCTAGCTGGGTCTTCAAAGTGAGATCCTGGCAGGGACACAGGGCAACTCTGTCGGAGGCCACAGCTCTCCATTTCCTGACAGCCTCTTATATTTAACCCCATTTCCTGTGCTCCCCTCTTTGGTGCTGTCCCACTCTGGCTCTAATCTTATGGCAGTTCTTCTCCCCAGCCCTTCTTCTTACCTTTTCATGCCCCATAGTCATGCCTCCATCCCTTCTTTTCAAACTCTGTCTCCAGGCCCCCCTCACCTTTTAACTTTGCCCACCCTCCATGAGGTCTCCCTCCCTGCTTTCCCTCCTAGCCCTGCCTTCCTGGCTGGAGCTGGGCCCTGAGCCAGAATGTGACTCACAGTGGTACTGTGGATCTTCATCTTGAACTTTTCGAAGTAGAGCCAGTCACGAGCCTCCTCAGGGTCCAGATCGTGGTAGTAATCGCGGGCTGTATAGCCAAAGCTGTGAAAGGCACCCTCTGGGGTCAGCAGCAGGCAGGTAGGGGTCTTCTGGTGGGCCACACCTGGGTCCCCACCTTCCCATTTCCTGTGGAGGCAGAAGGCTGTCACTGTGGTCAGCAGTAATCTTCCCTTCATGGGGTTGGGTGCTGGCTCTGGGACCAGCTGTGTGACTTCGGGCAGCTCACTTGGCTTCCCCAGGCACCATATGTAAAACGGGAATAATAACGGTACCTACCTTTTAGGGTTCTTGTGAATATGGTGCTTGGCATCCACTTAAATCTCCATAAATGTTGCTCATGGGATCATCTCCATCCATGGAGCCATGGGTCCCATCCGACATCCTCAGCTTCTGCTCCCTCCCATGAAGTACACCATTTGACTTCACCTCCCTGTCCTTCTAATAAGTAGCAGCAGGCTATCATCCATCTGCCTTGTCTGGCCTTCTGATGCGTCTCTCCAGGACCCTGGCAGAGGCCTTCTCCAAGCCAGCTGGATGCCCTCCTCTAAGCCAGGACCCTGGCAGAGGCCTTCTCCAAGCCAGCTGGATGCCCTCCTCTAAGCCATCTTCCACATAGCTAAGCACTATGATCATTCCTGCCTGGCCCACCTCAGCAGGTACACCCCAGCTGACTGCACCTTCAAAACCTGAGATTCCAAACCTCCCTGTATGCAGTCATCATCTGGACCTCCACCCACAACTCACTGCCCAGGTCATTGGCCTGGCAAATCCTTCTTCCCCTTCCTCTGCCTTTTCTGATGCCCTGACTTCTCTAGGTCAGGCTTACCATTGCATCCATTGGGGGAAGGAACTAAGAATCCAGGGAGAAGGAAGAGCATGTGCAAGTTTGTAGAGGTGTCAAAGAGTGGGGAGAACTAGCTATAAGTTGACTCAAAGCAGCAATGTTAAGATCAACTTAAGGAGTATCAAATGTCATACCAGAATTCTGTCTTGGTGGGTTTTAAGGGAGTGAAGAAGCATGACCACATTTAGAAATGTCTCTGGTCCCCATGTAGCAACACAGTGGAGGAGAGGGAGAGCAGAGAAGAGAAACTAGGGAGGATATTGCAGCCATTCAAGTGAGAGAGGGTGGGGCTGAACTCAGGGGTGCAAGTGGTGGAGAGAAGTAGATGGGTATTACAGAGATTTTAGGGAGATAGAAATGATGGGGCTTGGTGGCTAGTGGGAGTGGGAAGGGCTTGGGAGGAGGCCAGGATGTCCCCCAGTCACTCCTGTGACTATTTTCTCCACAGTATCCCTTCAGGTGTCCTCAGCCCTAGCAACAGGCCCAGCGTGGCCTCAGCTGTGTGTGCTGACAGGCTGGGATGCCATTCAGCCCCTAGAGAACTCTAAGGTCCTAGGGCCTTTGTGGCCTCACATGGATGTGGAGGGAGCAGAGAAAGGGGAAGGACAGTCCACATTCATGCAGGTCAAGTCCCCTGTATCTTTGGGGCAGTGACCCTTGGCTGTCTTTCAATATAGCCTGCCAGGCCCTGGTGAAGCCTGCCGATCCTCCATCCCAGTCTGAGTTGGGAGCTTTGGCATCTTCCACCTACAGGCTACAGTCTCACTAAGATACATTCAAAGGATCAGGGTCTTGAGGCCTGAAGGAAGGTACCAAACAAATGTTTTGTTCAAACAAAACTCAACAAAATTCATCAGAATGGATTTTTTCAAACAGCTCTTTCATGACAACTGTGTGACTTGTCAATTCAGCTAACCTCTAGTCCTTCATTTCCTTGTATTTCATTTGAGATGTTGAACCTAGGACTGCCTCTAGGAACCTACCACATAGAAATTCCAGCACAAGTTTCCAAGGAAGAGTATTCACTGCAACACTTTTGTAATGGTGAAAACTTAGAAGGAAAAACTTCCTCAAAACTATCAACAGAAGAATGAATAAATTATGATACATCCGAACTGTGGAATACTGTGCAACAATGAAAAGAAAATGGTGGCTCTCTCCATATTCACATGAGACATCTACAAAATAGTGCTGAAAGCTTAAAGCAAGTTGTATGTTTTATTTTGAAACCACATATTTGTGCATACATGTGTATCCCTATGACTAGCCCAGAAAAAATAATTAAAAATTGAAAATAAAAAATGAAGCCCAACATGAAAATAAAAAATGAAGCCCAACATTTTCTTGCAGAGGTCAAAGAACTGCCCCAACTGGGGCTGAGGGCCCAGACCTGGGGCCCATCCTCCAAACTTTTGCCCCAGTAGGGAGCCCAGACTAGGGCTGGAAAGCTTCTCTGAGAAGACCCCATGTCTCTTTAGTGACAGTACTTCTGGGACTAGGTCTCTCCCAGGGTGCAGGACTACCCCCAACCAATCTCCCAGTCCAGCTACTCTCACCTCATCATGTGGATGGCCTCAGGGTCACTGGCAAAGCTGAAGGCATAGCCACTGGATGTGGTGCCAAAGTCGATAGCCACGACCACGGAGAAGGGGGCCTGCTGAGGGCCTCGGGCCTCGGGCTTCTGCAAGTGTAAGACCTAGTCAGGGAGCAGCCAGAGGGCTAGGCTGGCTGTACGTGGAAGTCCTCCCCACCCCTGGCTGTGGTCCAGACCAGCCCTGGCCCACCCCCATCGACCTCCTGCCTGATTTCTCTCCCCTCCTAAGCTCCAGGCTGAGCCCTTGAGTTGCTAAGTGCTCAGAAAGCCCAAGGCCTCTCAGGTAGCCCCATGAAGTTTTGAGCTCAAGTTCCTACTTCCCTGCCCTTCTGCCTGGGCTGCCTTAGCCCTAGCCCCATCTTACATCACTTCCAGCCTGGGCCCAGCTGGAAGCAGTCCTGCTGCTCTGAGCAGCTTCAGAGCACGTGGACCTGTGTATATGAGACCCTCCTGCTCTTTGTGGCCACTGTGAAATAGCCTGACTCTGTCCAGTTTTGTGGCAGAGAAGAGAACCCCCCATGCGTGTGCCCCAGAGTGGTCCTTACCTTCTCCCAGGCTAGGACTGGGCTCCCTGAGAACAAGGGGGTCCCCAGGTTGGATCACTAGGGTGAGGCCACCCTGGGTAGGGTGACTTAGGGAATTTGGGGGTGATGGTTATGTCTTAGATATTTCAAGCTAGCAGTTACCAAAGTATTTTTTAGCCATGTGTCTCCTCTTCCCTAGATGTATCTTTTAATAAGGTGGGGTTGTGGTTGACAGGAGGGGAAGCAAGTCTGGGAGGCCCAGTGCTCTGAGGACCTACAAAACTAGTTGCTCAGAAGTACACCTGCCAAGGCAGGCTAGTTGCAAAAGTTCCTGGATGTCATCCTGGAGGGGGTTCATCTCAGTAAAACTGTCACTCCTATAGTCCAAGGTCACCTAAGGCTAACCCATCTGGGGAGAACATGAGTATATAGGGGCAGGAGGCATGGTGGTATTCCCAGCCCAGACTTGCAAGCTCTTCTAGACACCAGTGTGACCCTCCCCACCACCCATGCCCCCCACCATCCCAAGCCCTGCCCTAGGCTTACTGGAGACTGTGAGGGTGTGAGAGGGGCAATGCCACAGCTTTCCTGGGTCCTTGGGGAGGCAGGTGGGCTGGGCACTGGAGACCGCTGTGGGCTGGAGCCTGAAAAGAGAGGACAGATCACTCTGGTACAATCAGTATAAGGGGCTGCTGGCTAGGTCCTGGGTGTGGGGGTTCTCCATCAGTCACTGCCGGGCCAAGGTGAGGGGTACCCTGCTGGGGAAGAAGGACTAGGGAGGGAAGGTAGGAAGGACAGGACTGAGGTGGGGTTGGGGGATACCTGGGCTCAGGGCCCGTTATCAGTTAGAGGCGACCTGTTGCTGAAGGGCGACTCATACTTCATCTAGGACTCACTGTCTTCTTCAGCACCCGTCAGACACCGCGGGGAAGGGGAGGGATAGAGAAGCATTGGGGGGGGGTGGGCTGGACTGAGTCCAAAGATAGAAGGGCAGGAGAGAGGGGCAGGTGAGCTCCTGGGTGAGGATGGAGAAACCAGAAGAGGTGGGGGAACTACAGACCTGAGTGGGAGGTGGAGCAGCCCCTCTCCCCGTTAAGTTCAGCCTCATGTTCTCATCAGGACCTGGGGGAATTGCCTCTCCTACCAACCCTCTGCCCTCAAGGGTCATGGACAGGCCCAGCTCTGCCCTGAGCAGCCCTGAGCCAGGGAGGAGAGCAGATTCCAAGCTCCCCTCCCCCACAACACGCACAGACCTGAACCTTTGGTGGGAGGAAGCAGTGCAGCCCCCAGAAGGCAGCTGGCTTGGAGGCTCAGGCAGTTCAGGAGGCAGGAGGGCCTGCCTGGCTGGACATCCCCCAGGTAAGGGCTGGTGGCCCAACACCACCACACTGGCCTTTGCTGAGGCCCCTGTGCAGAGCACTGGGGCTGCCCTGAGATCTATGTGGGGGGACAGGAGGCTGGCCAGGGAGATTGGTGGGGTCTGGCATTTGGACACACTGGCAAATCAAACAGGCCTGTCTAGCTTTAGGCTGAGCCAGGGCTGGGGCCTCTACTCCCTCAGCCACAGCCATGGGGCCCTGACAAGTCCCAGGCCACCCTGGCCTTGGGGTACCCTGGGAACATATGTGAGGGGCGGGGCATGAAGGGGACTCTAGGAAGTGCCTGCAGAGGGCTGGCATCTGTCTTGCAGTGCTGGAGGGGCAAGGACATGGTGGTCACACTTCCAGAGGCCCTTTTTCTTAGCCGACCGGTGCAGGCTTGGGCCAAGTTGCTGTGGCTTGAGCCTGGGAAGGGAGGCAGGAAGGAAGGCCCAGCCCACCAGGTCTTTGTGAGTGGACTTCCTGAGGCGTGTCTGTCCTGCCGCCTGGCCTCCCTCCCCTGCACAAAACCCAGAGCCTGCTCCCAGACTAGGCCAGACATGCATGCACAGAGTTCTGTGCAGATATACACACACTCTCACTTGAGACCCTGTGCCCAGAGACCTGCCCTTAGGCAGACAGGCAGGGACACACACTCACACATACTACACACACACCCTGCACAAAACACATGCACACCCATACAGCCCTGTGCACACAGGCCTGCCCTGCATATACATATAGACACTCGGGGGTCCCATGAACAGGCTTACAGAGTGTGCACATGCACACACACACACTCACATACATAGTCCTGTTGCACTAACCCACCCCGTGCACACACACTCACGAATGGCTCTCAGGAGCCTCCGCTGAGAGAGGCAGGTGGACAGACTAGGGGTTTGTCTGAGTGCTGGAGTGACAGGGACAGTGGGCCTAGATGGAGGTGAGGGGGCAGGTCTTACCAATGTACAGCCCCTGTAAGTCCATCTCTGGGACAGCCAGCATCTTTGCAGGCTCTGTAGCTGTGAACAAGAATGGACAAGCAGAATGGCATTTATTTATTCCTTTGTTCCCTTACTGAATAATTATTTATTTACTTTCAGCTGGAGTCCTTTGAAGCAAGTCCCAGACATCATGTTGCTTGACCTATAAATTCTTTAACTTATCTCTCCAACAGATACGGATTTTTAAAAAGACATTGCCACAACACCACTATCATGTCCAATAAAATCAGTAGTAATTCCTTAATCCAGTGCTCAATCCCACAGTCCTAGCTTATCTCAAAATTTTTTTTTTTGGCTGCACCACCTGGCTTGCAGAATTTTAGTTCCCTGAGCAGAGACTGAACCAGGGCCTGCTGCAGTGGAAGCACGGAGTCCTAACCACTGGACTGCAAGGAAGTCCCTTAGAAATGTCTTTTTTTAACAGTTGCTTTGTTGGAACCAGGATGCTCCTAAGTGTTTTCAGGTGCCCACTCTCTGCCAGATGCTGTGGGACATCAGTGACCCAGAGACACACTATTCCTGTCCTGGGGGCCCATAGCCTGGTGGAGAAATCATTCATAATCAGATAATCATGTACCTGAATCTGAGATTACAAATGGTGCTATGGCGGATACAAGCAGGGCAGAAAGGGTAGCATGGCAAAGCTGGAGAGAGGGGTCGGGCTAGGCTTACCATGCAGGCAGATCCTGGTGGACTCAATTTTAGATCTGGTTTTATATGAAGGACAAGGGCAAATCCTGAAGGGTTTGAAGTGGCAAAGTGGAGACAGGCGCATGACTAAATCTGTTTTAAAAATCCCACCTGGCTGCATGGAAGTATGGACTGCAGCAAGACAACATGAAAACAGGGGCCAATAGTGCTCCAGGCAGCAGATGATGACTGCGTGTCTTGAGACATAAGTGCACACATTTAAGTGAGAAGTTAAAATCAACAAGCCTGACAGAAGTTAGTTGGATTGGACATGGGAGATTAGGAAAAAGAAGGTGTTCTTGGACTGACTGGTCCGAGCAAGCAGATGGAAAATACTGCAGCAGGGCAACCTGGCAGGGGGAAAGGGGCAGTGTTCCGGGTGCAGTTTTTGAAACTGCTAAGAAAACAGACCAAGGAGTCAGGTGACATATGACCTAGAGGTCAGGGAGAATTCCGAGGTGGAGATTTGTGTTTGGAGTCATTGTCACAGGAGGTTTGGCAGAGTAGCGTGGGGGAAGGGAAGGAAGGAGAAGCTCTGAATAAAGGTTGCCAGGAGGAAGGTTGAGCCAGGGAGACAGGGATGCCTGCTATGGTTTCATGAAGATCTTGATAAGAGAAGGCCATGAAGCTAGATCCTTCAGAGATTTTTAGCTGAGACTGGAAACAGCAGATTCAATGTTTTAAAGGCCCAGGGCATTTTGGTGGAATGAAGGAGTGGGGTGGGAGTCTGGTAGGCAAGGAGGGAGCAGAGGATGAGAGAACAGCTAGCACTTCCTGCTAGTGCAGCTGAGATCAAGAGGTGATGTGCGTATTACCTGGAAGAAAATAAAGCTTGAGGAGGGGAGGACAGGATTTTATTTTCTAAGATGAGAGGAACTTGAGCTTCTGTCCGCCAGCTCCCAAGAGCTGATTCTGTGCATCTCTTCTCAATGTTGCATTTATTGACATCACATTGATAGCTTGAAATCAGCCATGGTGATTATACCATACAAGCTGGCAAATTGCAAAATGGGTTTATCTCCCTCTTGGGGAGAGGACTGAAAAACATTTACCAAAAACGGCTGGATCAAGGCCACAGGAGAGATGATGGCAGCCGTATTTATAAGTTGTTTCGATTCATCAGCAAAAACACTGAATCTTTCTTCCAGCCGGGTTCTACAGCTAAGTGCTAGGGAAACACTGCTCAATGAATGGATTTTCTCAACCAAGGATATTGTATTTGGAGCAGAAACAATCTAGAATAACCAAGAAAAAAAGACTCGGGGTTGTCATTCTGAGCTGATTCCTTGTCCAAACCATTGTCTATAATTACCCCAGCCCTTATCTCTGAGCCTGACACTGAGTGCTCTGATACTCAGCACCGGCCTATTAGGCACCTTAAGGACACCTGGCTGGAGTGCATCCTGTTGCCTCTCCATGCCTCAGTGCCCTTTCCTGTAAAACTGATCATGCAGGGGCTTGTGAGGGTCAAGTCCAAGGACGAAAGGCAGTTGATAAAAAGGCAGATGTGAGCAGTGTTCTTTCCCTTCATAATATGGATTCTAAAGTTTCTCTTGTCAGAATTTTTGGTCTTATTGAGACTTTTATTCTAGTCATTCTGAGTTCTTTAGAGAGGGAGGGAGGCCCTGAATTAATTTGTGTTAAAAAAGGAGGATCCTGCTGATTCTCTAAGAGGTGGAGGCAGAAGCAGGTGGCAGCCGCACAAGCATGCATCCATGCCCCATATTTCTTTGGGACACCCTTACCACACATACACACCCATTTACCAGAAACATTTAGGGAGAATGCTGATCATGGGACTCTGGACAACCTCCACTCCCAAACACTACATCTGGGCAGGGTCTGCAGCTGGAAATGGGGGGAGGTAGAACCCTGCCCCAGGGGTCCACTAATTTCAGACTGGTGATGCTTATGGGTTTGAGAATAATTGAATGGGGCAGTTTGGTTTACACAGAAAGTAACCATTTCCTGGCTACAAGAGCAGGCTAAACCCTGGCCCCAGCCTGACCCCTCCCCTACGCACAGACAGACACTTAATCCCACCTCTGGTCTGTCCCTTAACCTCACCCACAGCCCTTGGCCTCATAATGACCTCTGATTTTCAGCTTTGCCCTGACCCAATAAGCCTGACTGGGGACTAGGACAGGGTGTGGCTGAGTAGGGAGTTGAAACCGGAGATTCCCATCCCACAGTGTTCCCCAGACTACAAAAGCCTAGGACTTTTTGTCCAATGGAGAAAAATCTCCAAGGATCTTTTCCTCAGTTGGGTGTGATGAGGCTGGGTCCTTATGTCCCTTCCCATCCCCCACCAGAGCACTTGGACATGTGGTGCTGCTGGAGTCCAGGGCACCACACATACCCATCTTCTGCCCATGAATGCAAAGAGCCTACCCAGCTTTACAGCTCACCTCCAGACCCCCACAGGCCTTTCCCCTGCACCCTGCCTCTCCTATCCACTGCTCTCTCTCATCATCCTGCCATTCAGCAAAGAAAGAGAAGCCACGGGCATTTTTCCCAAACCAGAGACTGAACCAGCCTGGGCCCAAGGGACAGATCAGAAATGGCACCCAAAGGGCTGCCCCCTGTCTGTCTCTGGAGAGGCTCCCTCAAGGCGAGGGACCAGAGGGAGGCTGTGGGGTGAGGAAGCTGCCTTCTCCCGGGCTGGGGCAGGGAGCGACAGAAAAGGCCTCCTGCATCCCCTCCCTGTCCTCCGCTTTTCTTTCCATACATCCTGCCCCACCCCACTGGGTCCCCATCAAGGGAGCAGCCAGTTCACAAACAACCTCTGTCCCACACAGCCTAGGGCCTAAGCCCCTCCCAAGCTCTCCTGCTGTCCATCACCTCTCTTACCTTCTGGGGATCCAAGGCTTCCTTCACTCTCACAGGGAGTCCATATTTTAGAGCTTCCTCCCTGCCAGCCTCCCTCCCCGACCCAAGCTAGCTTTGCCTCCTGGCTCCACCGCCCCCACAGGGAGCCCAGACCCCACTCCACCTGGACCCCCAAGTTGGCCTCACAGAGAGAAACCAGAGGTCCCTGTTCATGAGGCCAGCGCACAGTCTGGCACTGTGGTACCCCAGCCACTCTTGAACTTTTGAGACCAGGGGCCCTAGGAACTCCCCCTGCAGGCGCCCCCAAAGTACACACATATTGAACCGTGGGGTCTCCACCTTCTGGCCTAAGCACCGTGCCCCTCCACAAACTTGCTCCGCTGGAGCAGCCCCCAGCCCCACAGCAGACGCCCAGACATAGAAGTCTCCCGAGCCCCTCTCTGTCCCTCCCCTCCGATCCCCACCCTCACCAGTGTGGGGTCCCAAAGTCCGGATGGGAGCCCTTCGTCGCTGCCCCTGTTGCCTTCCTGAACCCCAGAGCCCTTCTGGAGACAGGGGCTTGCAGCTCTGTCCCAGTCCCGCTCTCCAGGGTCAGGAAGTTTGTGGTGGGGGTCTCAGCCGCCAGCCCGCGATGAAACTGCAGATCTCGGCGCCCTTCTCTCTAGGAGCCCGCAGCGCCCTGCCCAGAACTCACCTCTGCCCTCCCAACAGCTCGGCCTCTGTCCAGACGCCTGGAAGCTGGGCCCGCAGCCGGTGGGGTGGCCGTGCCCTGCCGCGGCGGCCACGGCCCTCGACGTGCGCCCAGCCCTGGCCCCGCTCTCCGCCCTGCAACGCCCCGACCCCTCTCCCTTCCCCTCCCCCTCCCCCGGGCCGGATGGCCGCGCCGCCGCGCCGCCGGGTGGGCCAGCGCTCCAGCCCAGATGTGCGAGGCCGGGGCGGGGCCGGCAGCGCGGGCCTCCGCCGAGGGGCCCCGCCCGGCTCAGTCCACAGCCCCTCCCTGCGCCCCTCCTGCGCCTCCCATTTCCCAGCCACCCGGGGGGCCGCGAGGGAAGAAGGTTGAGGAGGCGAGGTAGAGGGTAGAAGAGAGGAATTTCAGAACCACCCCCTAGGCCTCCTGCAGCCGGGCTGCAAACGGGCCCTCTGCTCACCTCAAGGCTACCATGGGCCAGCTAGAAAGCCCACCTGCCTAGAGGGAGGGCCCTGCCACAGACCCTCAGGGCCCCTTCACCCAGACGCCTACCCCCGCACCACATCCCCACCAAGATCCCTAGTTTGGTCTCCAAGGATCAGGGAAAAGAAGCCAATCTGAGGGTGAGGACAGGCCTTCCAGCCCAGACTGGGCCCTCGGTCTGTCCTTGCTGAAGTCTGGGGCAGGGAGGGAAGCGATCTCACAGTCTGGGTCCCCCCTCCTACCAAAGGGAGCACTCAGAACTCATTTTGCTTCGACAAGGATTACGTAGCCCCTTTCCTGTGAGGGCTCCCGGCCTTCTTTCTAACCTAGCCTTCTGTCCCAGCTCATGCTTCTGTGAGGATCTGGGGACCTGGCCTCCAAATAGAAGATTGACAGAGTGGAGATCTGGTTGCTAGGCCCTTCTAAGGCCGCTAACTTCCCATGCCCCACCCCCCACACCTCCTGGTTCTGGTAGGTCCTGGGCCTGACCCATTTCCTTCTGCCCAATGTGTCCCCACAGAGGCTGAGGCTAGCCTGGGTGGAATAGGGCCAAGGGTTGCTTCTCAGCTTGTCTCTCTGTGCTAGGGGGGCCGGCCTCTTGTTTGTTCCCTCAGCCCCCTCCTCAAAGAAGGCTCCTGTAGTTCTCTAGGCATCAGTTGCCACCACTCCCCACCCCCCCCCCCCCCAAACCTTGACATGGCCTATTTTCCCTCCCTGGAATACTTTCTTTCCTCCTCTCTGTCCATCTAAAAGGCTCCTCAGCTAAGGTGTCATCTTTTCTAATCTTTTGGCCCTTATTGTCAGGGCCACTGCTCTAGAGGGCTCCCTGCAATGAGGTTGGGGGTGAGGGGTGTGCAGCACCAAACAATTTTTTATGTTAGCACCGGGTCAGTAAGCCAGCAAGATACTCAATCGGCAGCCTCCACTGGCTGCTCCAAATGTGTCTGTAAGAGTGTGTGTATCTGTTGGTGTGCCTCTGTGTGTGTGTGTGTGTCTTTGTGTGTCTATGAGTGTGTCCATACGTGAGTATGTCTCTTGGGATGTCTGTGTGACTGTGTCTGTTTGTCTGTATGTATTATATATGCGCATGTCTGTGTCTTACATCTTTTTGTGTATGTATTTGTCTGTGAGTGTGTGACAAGTATGCGATGGGGGCTCCCAGGCCTTCATCTCATGGCAGAGACTGAGAAAAGCCAGGGAGGGTTGAAGTGCGGCTGTGCATTAGGGGAAGGGGCAAAGGGTCTAGCCCCTTAAACACAACCTGCTTCTTGTTTTTCTTGTTCCTCCACCCTCACCCCCAGCTTCACAGGCTGGCTCATTCCTGAGGGCCATGGCAGCAGGCTTTGAGCGGGAGTGAAGAATCGTGGGTGGGGGTCCTTAGCTCCTGGTGCCCTTCTGTTTAGGAGCCTTCTGTTCCCCACTATTTTAGGCCCCCTCAGGTGTTGCAGTCCCACCCTTGGGCAGCTTCCAGTCAGACACAAGAGGACAGCAAACAATCCCAGTGAATCCTTATCCACTGGGAGATTCAGTTCAATTCAATTGCCACCAGAAGATTTGGGCCAAGATAGGCATGGATGAGGGTCCCACAGAGCCCCCAAGGGACCTCTCTGAGCCCTTGCATTCCCTGCTCTCCCCTGCAGTGCCATGGAGATGCACCCATTGACCTCACCGGCTTCCTGCTTCTCCCTGGTGGGGGAGGAGGAGGGAAGGATCCACTCAGGAGTAGCCTCTCTCCAGGCCTTGCCTCCCTCCTCTGGCCTGCACTTAGGATCTCCCTCTCTCCATTCTGTTCCCAGCCCTGCCCCTCCACTTCATCTCTTTCTTGCAACTGGAGGAGACTTTCAAAAGTGCAAATCTGATTCCACTGCTTCACTGATCCTACACTGTCCCTTACCTACAGGAGAAGAGCCAGTGATCCAAGGCTTGGACTGCCATTGGCTGACCTCTCAAGCTCCCTTTTCCAGCTCTAAAGTCCAACCCCATCTGCTGCCCTTCAAGCCCAGCTTGCCTTCTCTGCTTCTAAACCTGGGCCAGCCCCCAGCCTGCTCTGCTCGGCAGGCAGCACCCTTCCTCTCTTGGGCTCTTTGGGAAAAACTGGCCCCTGGGAAACTTCTGTGGGTGATGTGTCTGCTCAGAGTCCCCAGCCGTGGCCACACCGATCTCGGGTAGCCTTGACCTGCAATGCCTTGGAGCAGGGCTCAGTTTCCCAGTGAGAGATTGGGCTGGGTTGCAGCGGTGAAAGCACCAGTTCCTAACCACTAGGTCGGTGGCCAGTGACAAGGGCCCTGGCCCTTCAGCTTTGCAGAAAAGAATTCCCACAAAGACAGAAAGTAACGAAGCAAGTAAAGTATTTATTAAGAGGAAAAAGAGTACAGTACGTGTGGATAGGTACACAGGCAGACTTAAAGGGAGAGTCCCTGAGTTGTGCCCTCGTGATAGTTTGAATTACTTTTATGGGGTATTTCTTCCTAGTTCCCTTTGGCCAATCATGTTGATTTACCTGGTTCACAGTCCATATCTGGGATATCTCAGGATCCTCCCTTGTGTGCCCACTCACCTCTTAGCCTAGGTGGATTTTACTGAAAAGACCATGGTAGCCTGGCATTAGTTAGCATCATTCTACCTTGGACGTCCAAGGAGCCTTTCTGTGTATGTATGGTCGAGGAGGTCTCCTGACTTTGAGAATGAGAAATATGTGGTCTGGGCAGGACCCAGTGATGTGAAAGTCGTTCAATCACGTCTGACTCTTTGAAAACCCATGGACTTAGCCCTCTAGGCTCCTCTGTCCGTGGAAATCTCCAGGCAAGGATACTGGAGTGGGTAGCCATTCTCTTCTCCAGGGGATCTGCCCAACCCAGGAATTGAACCTGGGGCCTCCTGCATTGCAGGCAGATTCTTTACCATCCGAGCCACCACAGAGAGGGCCCAAGCAGGGGCCAGTCTCCTCCCTTAATTGTCCTTTGGACTTTCAGTCAGTAGGGAATGAATCTCCAATTGCTTTACCCTGGTGGGTGGCCCATCTACCTTCTGCCTCAATACCAAGTGGTTTTTAGGAAAACTCTCTGGGTTTGGAAGACAAGAGCAGGGTTCCTCTTGTCTGGTGTCTGACACGCACACCAGCAGGCAGTTTTAGGGCAGAGGGCGTGTCTGCCTGTCTTTAGGACATGTCATTCCCCATCTAAGCTTATGTGTACTGAGTGGCTGTGGGGAGAACTTCTGTCTCTCCTCCCTTTTGCCAGAGTCCGGCTGCTTGCTCCACCCCAGAGCTTGGGGCAGGCAGACACATTACAGACACACCACACACACACACATGCACACACAGCACATACCACATATACCAGAGGGAAGGAAGGTGTTCCTGCCTTGGGAGGAAAAGGTGGGCAGAGGTGGTTTTTTTTTTTCTCTCATCAGTACCCTGTTAACTGCACCTCATGGTGTGCTGGTGCTACCTGCTGTTTATGCTGCCACAACACCCTTGGTGAGGAAGGACTCTCCATCCTCATTCTACAGAGGAGAAAGCTGAGGCTTAGAGAAAACAGGACATTGTCCAATTCAGACCCCTGTGGATTCAGGGCACAGATTGATTCAGTAGGCTGTCTCAGAGTTTGTGTTCTTTCCAATGCCACATGTTGCAAGAGACTGATGAAGGAAAGATGGTATCTGGGCACTCAGAGTCAGGCTTCCTGAATAGTTGTCCAGTCCTGCCTGCCCTTCCCTGGGGATGGAAGGTGGGTGGCTCCTGGGACAGAGGGCTCTGGAGTGTTCCTCTACAAGATTCCTGAGGTGTGAGCTTCCTTCCAGGAATGACTTTGCCTGCCCCACCCAGCTGGATTTCCTCTCTGTGGCCCACTGCCTCCATCTGCATCATTTCCCTTTTTGGAAATGGGAGCGTGGGAGGCCCAGTGTGTGCCTATCAGTCCTGATGGTGCCCGGCCTCTGCTGTTCATGGGCAGCTGGCACTTTCTCCTACATAAAAAGAGAGCCCTGGGGTTCTCCCTTCGTGCTGAGCCACCCTAATACCCTGCCCTAAATGACCCCCAAAGCACCAGAATTGGCCTGGTCTCCCAGAATTCTGCACTGACACGGCTCAACTCGCAGCCCCTTCTCCAGTGTGATGTCATTAGGGCTCCAAACGGGGGCCTTGGAAAGACTTCTTGGAGGTGGTCTGTGTCCTGAAGGATGACTGAGAGAGTTCTTGATGTGGAAAAGCAGGAAGGGCCTTCCAAGGGGAGGAAGCTGCAAACAAAAGCATGGAGGATGGAGTGAGCAGGAGGCAGAAGGGGATCAACAGATCCAGCACTGGATGGGGCTGGTGTGTGTGTCCCTGGTGCTTTCAAGTACAGAGAAACCTCCCTTGTCTCCTTTCCCAGCAGGCACCCTTGTTCTTTGCTCAGGAAACTCAACCCCGCTTGCTCCACTTGGACATCTTCTGTTTGGGATCTTTGACCACTGGGAGTTCAGCTGCATTGCACAACCCTTTCTCTGCTCACCCCTTCACTTTCTTTGAGTGACACCTCCCCTTGTCAACCCCTGTCCCATAGAATAGCCTTTCTGCTAGAGTATAGGGGTACAGAAAACGACCGAGACTCTAAGGGAAGAAAAGATGTTGAGGGAGAGATAATACTTTCATTTCAGCCCTGTCAAGTTGGAGGGAATGCCATAGACAGTACTGGATGTCCTTGCCCTATTACTTAGTCTCCTTTGCTTCATAATAGAATCTTCTTTTTTCAGCCATGCATATGCCCCAGCATTAAGAATAGATCTCCCAGCCTTTCTTGCTGCTAGATGTGGCCTTGTGACTGAGTTTTTACTATTGAGTTAAAAGCAGACATGTTCCATGGCACCTTCCAGCCTTTAAACATTGCTCTTGACTCCCCACTGTCCATGTT